ATCCTCTTCCAACTCTTAGCCCCTGACGGCGGCCCGGGGCCCCCTCTCCAGTTCCAGCGCCATCTCAAAGATCTCCAACAAGAGCTCTGACCTGCCGACGCTGCGCGTCGCGTCGCGCAAGTCGCGGGGTTCCCCGCCTCAACATCGAGCGGAACCGGAGCACCGGAGCGGTCCAGGGTGGCGATTGGGCGGTAGGGCGGGCACAGGGCCACGTTCAGAACACCACACCGACAGTGCGGACCTCGCTTTTCTCAGGTGTTGAGGTGTTTTTGAACTCTTCCTGCCCCTGAAATCCTCTACCACCGTAGACGCCATTGATACCCACAACCACGGAGGCCGTCCATGGATTGTGATGCAGCTGACTTCTCCAGCGCCATAGGGACCCTGTAGGTGAAACATGCAAGGGACAAGCTCTCACCACCCCTGAAGAACATTTTTTAGGTCAAAGCCTCCTAGACCAATGTTACCAAATGGTAACTCTTCAACATTCGTCTGCGTTTCCAGTTGGCCCTTTCCAGTTGGCCCTTCGCAAAGCACCAAGACGTTTTCCAGACCCTCCCACGTTCACACCCGGAGCACTCCGCGGCACCTCAGAGCAGAGCAACTCCACCTGGAGGACTCTCTCGCTTGGGTTCGCTCAGTGGGGATCAACCAAGCTCACGGCAGCCAAACACCAGAACCTGCCAACCTTCGGTGGCGTACCTTCGGCGGCTTTTCGAGTCGTGGACGCCTTCTTCAGACATCTGAAATCGGTCGAGAGTAGGAACCCGGTCCAGTCACCGGCCAACCAGTCACCGGTCTCATCAACTCTTGAAACCTCACCCGTCGGACGTACGTCGCTCCGATCGCTCCGATCGCTCGTCTGCCCCTCATGCGGTGCGGTGTTGTTGGTCGGTGTGGCCTCCAGGGCTTGGCCTCCAGGGCTTCAGGTCCATCTCTTGAACCATCGGCAGGATTGGCCCATCTCTTTCATCGCTCGGAGACCGGACCCATCGACACCTTCGCGCCCCGACCGGTCCGACCACACCGACTCGGTCGGAGCAGCTGTTTGGTCATCCTTTCGGGGCTGTTTGGTCATCCACTGACCAGCTGATTAGTGCAGGGAAGGGAAAGGCCATGACCCTCTTGTGAAGCTCAGACAGACCACTCACAAGTGAAGCACCTGTAAGTACCTGTACATACTCCGTAGCTGTGTGAGTTGGCTGGACATCGGAATCATGGAATCATCCACCAGGCATCTCAAACCTGGCCCGTGGCAGACGGAAATTCTATGGTCTGCAACCCAGAGCAAACTATCTGCAAACAGTCAGGCAAGGATGAACAGCTCTTTTCTCAAGGTTTCTTCTCCGTAGAGGGAGACGTGCTGAAACAGGCAGCTTCCTCTCTGGCGCCACTCTTTCATGACATACAGCACGAGCCCAAACGCGGTGCTGTTTACACCGGCGAGAGAGCCAATGGCAATGCGGCAATGCTCCGTTTTTTTCCAGGCCCCTGACATCATGCCGCAAGGGTTGCAGAAAGTTTCATCCACAACTCTTTTTGGATACGAGTTCCCCAGAGCCAGCCTTTTCCCCCAGAGTTTCCACGAATGTCCACCCGTCCCCATCCACCCCCCCCTCGGCCTGGGAGTCGCCTCCTGCACACGTGCAGTTTCTGTTTCACACCGGTGATTCCCAGATCCGGTGTGTAGCATGGGATAGATATTTCTCATCTGATATATCGTATTTCTTTATTTGTTGGGCCTATCCTATTGCCGGTAGCGGATGATGATCGTTGGGGTGGTTGACCTGAGGTTCGTGTACGTCTCGAGTGTTTGGGATTGATGTCCTGACTGAATCAATCCAGGTCGATGCCAGATACCATCTACCGAACGTTCACGGCGGGCTTGGGGAGGTATCCGGGTATCCCGGAGACCCGAAAAACCAATCAACCAATCAACCAAGCAAGGACGTAGTCAGGCCGTTATGCTGCGTGAAAAAACGTGTGGGATCCCTGGCCACAGCCGAACCCGAGGGTCCTGGGTTCTTAAGTCATCCAGCTCCAACCTACAGTAAGGGATCGGAGGCAAAACCAAGCCCCTCAGTCTGCAAAAATTGAACAGGGAAAAAAATAACAAGGAAGACGATGGGCGAAGCAAAACGAGGTCAAAAAAAGGAAAAGCGTCTCCCTGTGTTAACCCGTTTTTTGTTTACAGATCTGCAGATGAGCAGCTGTTGTTCAATTGTCCTCAAAAAGGGTGATGCAATGTTGTTCATCCTTTGTTCATTTGACCAACTTTGGAGTCTTCGGTCATCATCCCACAGTTTCATGTCGTCAGACTGGCTGCATCAGCCCTGCCATCTCCAAAAGCTGATGAAAACATTGGGATGATTGAGGGATGCTCATTTCTGCTGGGTCTGTCTTCCCGAAAGAGCAAGAAATTTGGGGGTTCATCATGCACTAGCCTACTTACTAGCCGACAAAAAAGCTGCCCACCCCTACTTGCTGGAGCGGTTGATGTGGCTCTCAAAATGAGTGGTTTCCCCCTTTGGTGGGTTCAAGGGGTGGTGGTGGCACTCAAAACGATTTTATAGTGGATTGAGAGTAGATGGCACAAACCCCAAGAGGTGCGACCCCCATCTAAAGGACATCATGCGGTCTGTGCTATCAAACCTCTGAAACCACTGCAAAAAAAACAAAATAACTATAACTATAACACACACTTACACACCAAACACCGCCGAACCGCCACCCAGTTCGATCATTGTCGATCCTCCAGAACCCATGACCACTCCTTCCACTCATGGCTTACGAAGGCACGGCTCTCGCTGCTGGTGGCTTGCCACAGCCTGGGCAACGAAACGGAGCCCCAAACAGAGCCCGCTCCGCCCTTTTGGAAGTGACGGGTCAGCATGACCGGAGTCGGCTCCCATTTTCCCCCGTCCGGGACGACCACTGGTCGTGGTCGTCCGGTGCGGTGCGGTGCGGCGCGGAGTGAGCGACCTGCGGTACAAAAGAGATGAGACTGTTGGGACGGATGGTGAATCGACCATGTTCTTCCATGTTTTGCATCTGACTGCAAAGGCACCTGGCAGTTCAAAGCAGGCACGTCGGGCAAACATCAGGGCTGCCTGAAGCCTTAGCCAACCTAAGGCTTCAGTGGCAATTGGTATAGGTTGGGTGTATCCCATTACCAGTACCCGTCGATGATGATAATCATTACATATCATTACTAAGTACATACTAATGGTTACCAAAGGCCTTTGCTCAAAAATAATGATCAATGATCACCTTTTACCGGCCATGACCGGTAATAGGATACACCCTACAGGATATAGCTACTATCAACAGACCATCCCTCTCCATCCACGGATCTGATCTTCCACCGAAGAAAGAGAGTCTTTGGGTGTGGTGCCTTCCGGTCTTCCCTCGCGTGGTGCCTCGCGGAGTCCCTCCGGTCTTCCCGACCGTGAGAGCTGAGAACCACGTGGGGCGATCCCCAATGACCGCCTGGAAGGACGTGTGAAGCTCCAAATCATCGTCTTCTGGCCAGGATCCAGTCGTACCGAACCGAAGGTACGACTGGACCCTCCAAAGTGTCTCCAATCACCTGAGGAGGTACGACTGGATCCCTAGGGTGCTTTTTCTGGAACTCCTGAGGTGGCCAGTCGGCACTCAGGTCTTTTCACCCACCTCTCTATTCTTCCAGCCGGTCCATGACGCAGCACGCCGCCCGCTCGGCAGCCCCCACAAGTGCCGGAAGTGCGTCCAAGTGTGGCCATGAAGTTCACAGGAGAGATACTGCGGGTGGAGGTGCACCTTGCACGAGCGTAGACCGTCGCACACGCACCACTCGACGGTCGACTTGGATGGGGAAGAGCCACAGGGTAAAAACCTGAAAGCAATTGGTGAAGCCGGTTTCTCACACATGGTCTGGGCGTCTGCAGACGTGTCTGGAAATCTATCAAAGAAAAAAAAAACAAGATTGATGGGGTGGGGTATCCGTGGGAGAAGGATCCAGCACTGAGCTTTTGGTCCAAACAGCTACTTTCTCAGAAGGCACATCTGACATGAGAAGAGCTGACATCCCACATGTTTCTTGGTGAGAAAACCCAACTAGGCGGGTTCGGGCACTGGCTTCGGGGTCGAGAATGGATCCGGGCAGGCTCACCAAGAACAGCAAAATCCGGTGCGGTTCTTCAAAAGAAGGCCAGCGATTCTCAACACCAAACCGTGAAACACACCTGAAAAACTCCGCAGGTGTGTCTTCGGCATTCGGCTGTGCTTCGGTGTCTTCGGTGACGCTCCGGTCGTTTTCTTCGCTTCCCCTGGGCCCCCGAGCGGCCGTGAAGGCCGCCGGCAGCACTCGCCGTTGGGCTCGCCGTTGTGCGAGGACACCTCCTCGGGGCGTTGTTTGGCGTGGCGAGATTGCCAAGAGGATGAAGCATTGAAGCATCCAAAAGCATAGGTTTGGTGGATTCTTCACAAATCCAAGTCCTTAAAAAGCTGAGAGGTTCATGAAATGTTGATTCATATTGGCTCGAAACTGAATCTAACAGTGGGCGCTTAGTCTGTGTGGTGCGGATTGGTGCGCCCTCCCAGGCCTGGTGGATTCATCTCCTATCACTGACGGGTTGCTTAATTGGTGGGGAATGAGGGCGGGAATGACTCCGGTTCCCTCATTTTCCCTCATTCCCTCCTAAATCTCCTAAGCACTAGTCAGATCAGTGCAACTCCGAGTAGAGGTCACTTAGTGACAGACAGACTCCGACCGAACGAGACATGCGGGCACGACTCGGCAGCGCCCGCGCGGGTCGATCGCTTTCTCCAAAAGACTCAGTCCGAGTGCCCAGCAGGAGTCACGGCCTATCTCCATTCACCCGCCAAAAGGCACCACTCTGGGGGCGCCCAATTTGCAAACCCCTCCGTCCGGTGGCTCGTGTCACAAGTAAACGTCACGCAGCAAAAACCATCTCCAACTGACCTTGCATCTTTCGTACTTGTCAGGCCATAGGCCAGCTAGATCCACCTACCGAACCACCCGAACGCAGAACACACATGAACACACCGAGCTTTGAAGGCTCAGTGTAGGCTTGCCTCACTTCTTAGGTGCGGCATCCTTGAAACCTGGGCGATCAAGCAGCTTCGGACGTCACGACCAGGTTTCGCTTCTCTTCGGCATCCGGTCCCCGCAGAGGGGCGCTCGACGTCACCCGAAGTGTTGGAAGGCGGCAGGCGCGGAACAAAGTAGGGGCGGTGTGTTTGATGTCTGAATGCATCTTCCTGATCAAAGAGGGGGTTCGGTTAGTAAACCAACGTTCTGCCAACTAACAGAATCAGGGCCGTTCAGCCAGCCCATTTCAACTCGCAGGTGATGTGTGGTGATTGCAGGCATATGGTTTGAAGGCTGGTCTGAAAACATACTCTGATCCTGAACGACACTCCTCCGGAAACCACACCCAGAAACCCTCCACCCAATTGATGGCCCAGAAGTCATGCGCCAGCTCCTCCTCCGCTTCGGACTCAGTTTCGAAGTACGGAGTCCAAACCACAAACCCAGCGGGCAAAAGCGTGGTGGAAAATGTGGCGAGTTGAGTTCAGAAAAGCGTTTTTTCAAACTGAACACCAACACAACCAGAAAGCCATTGAACAGCGCATTTATTCAGATCACTCAAACCTATCGGGTGGGTTTTCCCACAAACAGCGCACGGTTGGACTCCTCGAAATCGATCGCGGTTCGAGCAGCCTTTTGGGCGGCGATGTTCACAGCAACTAAGTGGCGCCAAACATGCGAATTGATTTGACCATGTTCAAATCATGGACCCAGACAAATAGGGATCTCTATAATATTATATATATATATTAAATGGTAATTACATATGTTTTCTGAAAATATTTCCTCGCCTAGTTTAATCAATCATGGCCGCTTCAACATGCTTCAACAATACTTTTCAGCAAAAGCGACGAGCCGAACTGAAGACAAATCGAAACCGAACCGTTAGGCTGCGCGCGAAACCGAACCGATACAGAACCCATGCACTAACATAGCAACTGCACCGGTAGCGAAACGAACCCACAAAGCTGCAGCTGCAGATTCTATCAATCTAGGTCTTCAGGCAATCGGGCAATCACAGCCAATGGCAGTCGATAGCGATCGACTGCACTGACGTGGACGGCAGTCCGACGCCGACGCCTTTACATTTTTGAACTCTGGCTCGGCTCGAGCAGTGGTACTACCCACAGACACTGAGCGCATGCCACGTACACAATGGAAACCGCTGCACGCGCACAGCCGCGCTCGCAGACTCGAGACTTTCGCGGCACAGCGTGCTCGAAGACAGCCGCCAACGCAGTTCACAGCATCGCGGGCGCGCTTTTTCAGCTCCCGAGCGCGAAAGCTCGGCGCTCGGGTCGCTGGGCTCAGCGTGAGTGTTTGGCGGGTGCATGTCAACAACGCTTCAGGCCTCCGGAGCCCTCAACGCTTCAGACGGGCGGAGTGCATGTGGGCTCGAGAGCGCGGTGTGGCTTTGGAATTTGAGTAGCCTCCAGGCTCGGAGCACTCCGAAGTGGCTTTCAGTCCTTGCAAATGTACTCGTAGGGCATGTAGAAGTAGCCTCAGGGAAGCTCTGAGGAGCGCATGATCAACCCAGGTTCCCTGGGAAACTACTGGCGTCTGAAGGCCTTCTCCCCCCCAGAGTGACAAGAGCTAAATCTCTTCACGTGAAGCTGAGGAAATCAATTGGACATGTCATAGCAGGTTGCATCTGCCCATCTTTGCACGAGTCACAGGGATCGGCACAGAACTCATTGAAATCTGGCGAGACGTGGCACTGGGGGGTTTTGCCCCACTCGAAGATTAAGAGCAAAAACACCCATTCAAGACCTGATGGATTCCTCATGATATCCCGATATCGATATCCCTCACACGTCATCCACTGACCTTCTGAAACCAATCCAGATCTCCCCAACTCCATGGTCCGCCTCCACCCATTGAACAAGTGTCCGTGTCAATGGTCTCCTCTCCGGATCCCCCCGCGGAACCGGCGCGTTCTCAAGGCCGCCCCACACAAACCCCCCACGGACCGACCCCCGGTCGTTCGTTCCGAGGCGCCTTTGTCGCCCCAATCGTCTCCCCAGCTGTTCCGCACGATGAAGCACTGCTTGAAGTCGTCGTAACCCACCGCGCAGACGGCGTGCCCACCCCGAGCCTGTGAAAAACAAGCAGCCATCGCGGGACGTTGGTGTGGAAGGACGTTTGGAGATGTTTGGAGTGAACTCCATGTTTTGTAAATTAAGAAAATGAACAAAGATAGAAACCATCTAGGCAATCTAAAGCCTATTGGTTGGGGGATCTGCATACTCTATTACCGTTGTTGAGGGTTGGTTTCTTAGTGACCCCTGCTGGCAAGGCCAACCTCCAGCCACTGCCCCGAGCTACCAGTCCGGAAAGAATACATCGCCTCTATATACTAAGACAAATGCACACAAATGCTGGTGTCTCTTCGTTTCGAACGAGCATGGAATTTCGAGATTTGAGGGATTATGTTCACCCCTAGTTTCAGCCGGGCTGAACCCTGGCTTCGCTGCTGAAGGTTTCTGGCTGCCACAACATGCTCAGGTTGCAGACGCGTAGCTTGTGATTACTTTGAGGATCACCAAGATAGTGGGTCAGTTGGCCCTCAGATGGTTTCACACCAACCGAGTCAGGCACCATGTGCTGGTGCTTTGGCGCTTTGGCTGGCGGGGAGGGCAACCCCCTGAACCAGCCTGTTTCATGGCACCTGGTCTGAGTCCAATAGGAAGAACAGGAACCAATCGAAAAAGAAAGGAAAGGCCGATGCGAAACACCAGAGGAAGAACACTCCGAACCGGATAGGTCATAGGCCCGCTCATGTCGACAGTTCACAATCCCATCCAGGCCAATCCCTCCAAATGGAGATGTCGAAACATCCTTGTACAGGGGATGATTCATCTGTCAAGATTCTGTTCCATCACTTGAACTTTCAATGTGACCTTCACCTGACACCCAGCACCCCGCGGACGGCATGATCTTCAGCCCCGCGGACGGCCGCACGCGTCCCATCCAGCCTTGTCGCCAGGCTGCGGCATCACCATCGTACCATTCTTGGCGGGATCGACCATCGAAAGATGCAACTGGAACCCAAAAACAATGGTTTGATCTTCGAACACCCAACTAAGGGTCAGGGTCAAAGACTCAGGCCAGGAAATTGTTGCATCGTTCTTTTTGCGTTCCATTCCCCTGTTGCCTCTTATGTAGCACTACCATGTTCTTTTCTAAACTCGTTCTGGACAAGCACATTGAGAGCTCCAACCCCCAAAAAATCATATGAAAAACAAAAAAACTCCGCTGCGCTAAGTCACACACTTGAGAAAGAGCTTGCAAGAGCGTGAATTCAGGTGGTCCCAAGGGTGCATTAACCCTTTAGAATTTGTTACCGCATTACCCAGCTAGTGCAGAACGACCCCACACCTGAAAAACAAACCTTGCAAATGGCCGAAAAACAGAAATGATCAGAAATGTGTTTCCGCGTCATCCGACTGAAAATGCAGTTACACATCAGGACGTCATGCTTCACCAGAGAATGTGGACGTATTCGTTGGATTTCGTTGGCAGTGATTCCAGAAGCTCTGTCACTCCCCCCCCAAATCATCGAATTCTGCATGCTCGACTGAGGCAAGAGCTTCCCCTGGAAACGGGGTGTGACATGGCCTCCACCGTCTCCCCCCGACCCGGCACCGACCATTCTCCCGCCTTGGCCGCCTCGGAGAAGCTGGTGAGCACCGTGAAGCCGAACCTGGTGGGCTCGTCCGCGGCTCGTCAGCGGCGAAAACGAGTCGGGTCGAAACGAGAAAACGCCCTCGTTGGGGGCATGCGGAGCTGTCCGCAAGAGTGGTTCCCTGTGGGGAAGCGACATGGGACCGACTTCGCGAGATATATCCGAAAGGAACACCGGGTGGAGTGAGCCACCCATATTCGACGCAAAGGCACACAAAGGGGTAGCCATTCTTGATGCAGAGCTTCCTTAAGTGCGCTTGCTTAAGTGCGAGCAAAACCTTTGTATTCCGGCGTCTTTCGTTCTTATTGCTGGGACAGTGCACATGGTGCCGGTTACAAGCTGATTCTACACCAAGCTGAAGCAAGTTGATGCAATCTGAACAAAAAAGAAAAAGCAAAACTACCGGTGGGAACACCAAGTGCTTCAGGCATCATCTGCTGCAAATCCTGTGCCACATGCGCGTAGCCCTTCACGGTGCACTTGGTTGCCAACTCGTAGCAGTTCTTGTCCGGCTGCTTCTTGAAGAAATCGTTTTGGTCGTCGTACCTAAACACGTTGGCCGATGGGTGGAGCCCCAAGTGTTCAGTCAGGTCGCAGCCTGTGCATGGTGCCTAAGAGTCTGTGGTGTGCCTGCGCTCTTCCAAGTCTTCTACGTCTTCCAAGTCTTGCTGTGTTTGGCAAACACTCTTAGTTCTCTCGGAAGTCAAGGCTTTGTGAGCTCCTATCCTCGACTTTCCGAGACATGTTTTGTCTCTACTTTCCTTGCAAACCGGTGTGCTCTGTGGCAACCCTTTTTGTGTTGTCCCTTCCATGTGGGTCATGGCCAGCCGGGACACTTCCACATGGCCTCGGGGCAAACGCCAAGCCTCTCCATGACTTGGATCCTAAGTCGAGGAGGGCCGGGCTATCAAAAAGAAAATTGATATATATCAAAAAGAAAATTTCTATATCCGATCAAAAAGAAAATTAATTTGTATCAAAAACAAAATATCTCTCACAAAGAGCTGCGCCTGCCACTGCAAACCGCCTTGGCAGCGCTGCCCGATGTGAATCTGGATGCGCAGATTTCGTGGCGCGCGCAGCACTTTGAGCATCTCCAGTGGCAGATTTCGTGGCAGGAGCGGCACTTTGTGCACTGGAACTGCAGATTTCGTGGCCTGCGCAGCACTTTGATCACCTTTAGTAGCAGATTTCGTGGCAAGAGCGGCATTTTGTGCACTGGAACTGCAGATTTCGTGGCAGGAGCGGCACTTTGTACGCAGCACTTTGAGCACCTTCAGTTGCAGGGCTCGTGGCAGGCGCAGCACTTTGTGCACCGGAACTGCAGATTTCATGGCAGGCGCAGCACTTCGTGAACCTCAAAGTGCAGATTGCGTGAACCTCCGTCTATCAGCGCAGACTTCGTGGCAAGCGCAGCGATTGCGAACCTTGTAGTGCAGTTTGCGTGGCGTTTGTAAAATTCTGTGGATCTGAAGACCTGTGAAAAGAGCTCTTGATATCTCTGGATCTGAACATCTTTCTACACCCTCTGCAAGTATAGAACTTAGATTTCAACACCTCCCTGGATCTCAAGACTCAAGACCTCTAAGCCTCCATCTTTGGGTCTGTGGGTTTCTAGGCCTCTACACCTGCAGATCCGTCTGGATCTCCAGGCCTCTGGATCTTTGTAGATGTAAACCTCTCTGCATCTCAACCGTGATCTGTCTGAATTTCACGATGGCTCACAAAACCACAAGACCTGTGGATGGCTCACAAAAGGTCTGCTATGTTGGAATGGCACCTTCCTCCTCTAAAGTTTATGCTGACAACAGGTCTGCTCCTGTAAATTTTGCCCTCGCATGGCTCACAAAAGGTCTACTGCTCCTCTAAAATTTGCTCACAAAAGGTCTGCTACCTTGGCGTGGCACCTAAAGTTTCCGGGTGGCTCACAAAAGGTCTGCTACGTTGGAATAGCAAGTTCTACCCTCGGGTTGCTCACAAAACAAAGGCCTGCTACGTTGGAATGGCAACTTCTTCCTCTAAGTTTTGACCTCGCAAGGCTAACAAAAGGTCTGCAACGTTGGAATGGCTCCTTCCTCTTCAAAATTTTGCCCTCAGGTGGCTCACATTGGAATGGCACTTTCTTCGTCTAAATTTTACCTTCAGGGTGGCTCACAAAAAAAGGTGTGCTACGTCTGGCGATAAAAGGTCTGCTACGGTGCTTCACAGGATGTATGACCAGATTTCCAAATCACCTTTAACGCGTCTTGCCTCGAAAGTACAGACCCAAGGACCCGAAGACCAGGACGAAGGACCGCAGGACCAAGGGACCAGAGGACCAAGGGACCAGAGGACCAAGGGACCAGAGGACCAAGGGACCAAAGGACCAAGGGACCAGAGGGACCAAGGGACCAAGGGACCAGAGGACCAAGGGACCAAAGGACCAAGCGACCAGGGAACCAGCAGACCAGGACCAAAGGAGTAGGGGGAATTATATTTTTGATACGAATTAATTTCTTTTTTGATAGGAATCAATTTTCTTTTTGATAGGAATCAATTTTCTTTTTGATAGGTATCCCGTCGAGGAGGTGGTTTGACTGGGGGTGATTGGGCACAAGCAGTACTCCTCCAACTATAGAGGAAGCCGGTGCCACCTCTTCTTGGATGGTAAACCAATGCTCAGGGTGAGGGATCTAGAAACCACCCTTACTGGGCGGTGCTGTTCTGTTGTCAGAGAGCGGTCCCATCCAGCCCTCGGTCTTCATGCCAAAGCAGGCATCGAAACGAACATGAATCGAAACGTCACAGGTCTTCAGGCCACGATGTTCGTCGTCGCGCGTGGGGAGACCGGCGAAGGGAAACGTGGCAGCTGATGGCGGCGGCCACCGAAAGGCCACCGGAGGGCCATCCGTCATGCTTCAGGACCCGGTGGACGTGGTCCGATGATGTCCGATGCATGAAGAAGAAGAAGAAGAAGAAGTGGTCCCTTTGGAGGAAAACCACCTGTCTGAAACACCCATCTGAACGACGTCACCAACTGATTGCGCACCAACTTCGGGAGTGTCCCCAATCCGTCGTCACGTTCTTTCTCCAACCACTTCTCGGTATCCAAAGTGAAGTTTACACCAAGCACGGAGTAGAAGCCACAAGCCTATTTCAACCATCGCAGGACCCAAAATGTACTAAAAGGTCTGCAGAACATGCAAGGGTTCACCGAACAGAAAGAACCCCCACCAGTTGTCCAATTTGCCAAGACGGAGTGTACGCAGGGGTTCAAAGCTTGAAAGGGTGAGCACCTTCAGAGATGATTTGTATGATATGCATCATGATCCCTAAACAAAGACGAAAGCTCATTAAAATTGGGATATCGGGCTATGATGTGCTTCGTTCTGGATCGGTGAACCTCCCATGCACCACGATCCTTGCCCTTGGCCCGCTGCGCCCAGGATCCCATCGCGAAGCATCGCCCCGGCATCACGGTCCACGCTGCCCTCCACATACCTGCCACACAGAGCCAACTCAGGTCGGCCCGGATGGCCCGTTCGAACCAGTCTGCGTCAGATCCCGAATCTGCGCCGTTTCGGGTGAGGCCGTTGTGACGCCCAACCGCAGGACGCCCGAAGTATGGCAGATCCGACCACTGGATGCATCCGACCACCGTCGACTCGAGCGGAAGAGCTACCACACATGCGTCAAGAAGTGGCCTCGGGGGGGTCAAATCCGCAGTTCATTTGGACATGATATGTGTTTTCTTTCATTGATTGGTACCTGTATTCCGGCAAACGACCCATGGAATAGTACGGGAAACGTGAGTCCGTCTCCGAAAAACCAGGGGTCACTTGTACTATGTCTTCCACCTTTTGACACGCGCGCGACGACCCCACTCTCACCGACCTTCAAGGCTCCGCCCACTCGAACGTTCGCCGATCGACCGATCAAGGACGGATTGGTCGGTGACCGAATGGGTGACGGACCGACCGGGTAATGCTCTCTCCCAAAATGGAGGTCGCTTGGAACGTCAAAGCAGATTGGGTTTGAAACGGGTTTTGGAGGGTGAAAACGCATGCCACTCCGGTGACAACGAGGGCTCGTCTCTTTGTCGGTTGGTTGTCTCATGAATCAACGACTCTCTTCCGGGGCCTTAGTACCTTAGGATCGATTCCGGTCGATGGCCCGAAAAAGCGGAACAAAGGAACCTCTACCAGGGCCCCGTTTTGGATCGTTTCGGGGTGTCCAATTATAGCTCCTTAGGGAGGGTCCATTCACCACCCCTTGGGGGTCCTGTTAACTTCATCAGAGTTCTCCGCCGCTCATGACTCACACAAAGTTCCATGACTCACATTGAACGTGTGAAGTTCCCCTCGAGAGAACGAGTCCTCAATCCACCTGGGCCGATCCCGACCTCCCCAGGCCGATCCCTCCCGAGGAGAAAAGAGGCGGCGCACCTCTCGTTGTAGTAGATGAAGAGGCGGCTTGGTGTGAAGTCCTTGAAACCCTCATGCTGCTCCACCTGAGGGACAGACCACCCACCCAAAACATACCTCCAGGCAGATCGAGCACCGTTCTTTTGGGGTTCGGGTCCGATGTGAAGAGGCTTCACAGGAGCCACGGTGTCCATCCGTTTCCGGTTTTCGCCAGGTATTTTCTTGGTGGCTTTCAATCCCATCCAGCGGAGAATGGGCACTGACTTCCTCATCTTCCTCCAAGAAGCACCCCTTTCGAATTGGCTAGTTGCTATTTAGGCATCACATGTCTTTGCTTTTTGTCACCCCTGCTGTGAACCACTCCGAATGTACATCAAAACCACAGTGGCTCCTTGGGATGGTTTTGATCTGCTGGAGTCCGCTGTTGGAGCACTGATTGTGTGGCTCGGCCCTGCTTGGGTCATTCCCTCGGTGCTGTCCCAGTCTGTGCGAACATCGCATGGACCGAACACCTGGAGTGTCTGCCCATCTGCCCGCCCTCACGTGAAAAATCGGTGTCAGTGGCGTGGTGTGGGATGGGTTCGAAAGAAAACCGGCCACTTCGTTTCGGTTCCGGAGATGAGCGACCGGCCAAACTACCCCCGACCTAAAGGCAGCTCATGAATGTACGTGGCCCGTCAGAGCCGTCGCGGGTGGCGAATGAGCACCCCCTGAAGCATCCGTCTGTGTTTTTGGGGTGGCTATGAAACACTCGAATGGCCCCACGGGCCCTGGCTTTTCAAGAAAAACACCTCGGACCACGTGGGCGAATTCTTATATGGCTGTGGGTCATGGCACCTGGTAGATTGCCCTTTCTGTGCATTAAAAGAAAAAAAGTCTCCCGGTTTCGGCCCACAGTCATATGTGACTGTTGACTGCAGAAATCCTACACTGTCTGACCACTATCTACAAGATTATTGTGCGATGCAGCTACGCATATCAAACGGCCTTGTTGCATCTTGTTGCTGTCTACCAGGTCTACCACTCCCACTCGCACATTCGATTCAATCTTCCCAACCTCCTCTTGTTGGGAATGCAAACCCTCCCTTGGCACCACATCTGTTTTTGGATAGAGTGTCTCTATATCTCCAGGCCACATTCTCCTTGTGAAGTGCGAAGTGGAAAGCCGCCGCCAAAGCGTTCGCTGTGCAGCTGCCCAAGTGTCCTGTCCGCGACCGCCCAACTCCCTCGTTGTCCGCGGTTCATTAAACAAGCTCCAAAGAGACTGGTCCCTTTTCACTATTATAATATAGGCCTATATCGGGCGAGTGAGCTGAATACGAAGTGATTGACTTATAGTCCACTCAAACGAAGGCTTCCAGTGTCAAGGCCGCAGCCTTCCAGTCCACAGCTTCGGCGAGGTCGACGTGTCCGCTTCCGGAGCCGCTTCGGCTTCACCGAACCGTGGAGGGGGGGCAGGTCGGTGTCTATGGACCACCCCTTGTGTGGGGCCTTGGTTTATGGTGTCAGGAGTTGCAGTATTTTTTCAGCAGAGTCGTGTGGAAGCATTCTTCGTACCAGGTACGGTGGTCTGGGCATCAGCGGTGACTAGTGCGTTTTGAAGCCAAACACCACCATCCACCGAACAGCGAGGCCACGCCGTGTCCTTGGTTGAAGATCTTGAATCCACCGTTCAAAGGCCGCAAGTCCACAATCTCTTTGCTGCCTTCACCCTTCCTCTTGATCTCCTGGTGGACAGTGACCCTGTGACCCAAACAAAGGGCGGGTAACCAATGTCTTGTTCGTTCAACCCATGTCGCCGTAACCGGCGATCTTCAAAAAACCGAAGATTCCACTTCCGGGCCCCGATAAAGAAAAAAAAGGACATTGGGCCTCCTCCGAACTCTCTCCACCTGCAGAAGTCCTGAAAACATGGGGCCCTCTATTTTTGGGCGCTCAAAAAGGGTGGGGTCCGCATCTCTGTTGGAATTCCTTTCCGTCCGACACGTCGGAAAAAGAGTCGGTTTTCGAGGGTCGACATGGCTGGACTTGGGTCGTCGCAAGGGTTTCGGTCGGTCTGGTTCGGTGTCCAACGAGTCTTCCAACTCTTGGGGGTCGAGTCTATCCCTATCGATCCATGTAGATTGAGCGATCGATACCAGGACCTTCCAAGTCCGGCGGTTTTGGGACACCCCTTAACCACTAAGAGGCTATTTCTAGACACCTCTTGGAAGGTCCTGGTACTTATATTTATGAAAAAATGCTCTCGTACCGTTGCAAGGTACTCCATCCCGATACTCGTCACCGCAGCTTTTCATGCGGTCACCTTCTGAGTGGTGCGGTCCCGTCGCTCGAACCGGCCGAGTTCGGAGACCGCATGAAAAGCTGCGGTAGATGTGGAAAGTACACCGGGTTGGAATGGGCAAGCTGTCTTGTGCATCTGTTTGTTTCACAAGCTGTCTTAGACAGCGACATGGAAAACAATGGTTCAATCTAGTGAGGATTCAACTGCTTGGAGTGCAAAGTACCGCAACAATTCAACGACGAAGTTCCTTCGACCTCGGGTGTCGGCTTGTGATCTGGAGATCTCTGGAGGGGCCTCGTTTCTGCCAAATCGCAGAATTTGTCCGATCTCATGTCATCTACCGAACGCACTATAGATTACAAGACCCAAAACGCGAAAAACCTTCAACACCAATGAAGACCAATCTTCTTCAAACGCACCAAGCCGAACCAAAACCTCTGAACCTCTTGCTAACACCGCCAGATCTCTGGTTCCTAGCACCCCAGCCTCCAAAAAAAACCATGAAAAACGAGAAAAGAGAGCCTTCGGAGCATCCACCGACTTGAAGGTCATGTAGAGATCGCGAGGGTCTGGGATATCCTTGATCCAGCCCATCTTCCTGAACCACTGCGCCGACTCCCGCACCAGTCTCCGGGCATGGCCAACAAGGCGAGTTCAGTCTCCGTGCGGCAGAAGAGGAAAGCGTTGGATGGAATGCTGAAACAACGATGGGCCAATGCAGAAACGACCAACATAATAGAACATGCATATGATATGTATATGATATATTGTAATTGTTGTTTTTTTTGAAGATGCGGATGTTAATATGGAACTTCAGCAAAGAAACCTGTAACCCACGCACAAATGCAAAGTAATCTTCCACGGTCGCCTTTCAAAGCGCGAGATGTCTGTTTATGACTTCTAACCATCCAAACAGCCAAGCGAAATACAACCTGTTTGGATGAATATCGGAGTTGAACAATGACAAACCAAACTCAAAGGCTCAATGCTCGACATGCTTGAACAAATTGCAAACAAAACTATGGCAAGGTGGCCAGAGTTGCTCAGATATTCCCGAGTGCTTTTGTCACATCGGTTGGAATGACCGGGACAACAAGGCAAGTGGGATTTCATCCTGTCCTACTCGTTCCGAGCTCCCAACGGTTCCGAACTCCCATCAGATTGCCCAAAACGGCACAGCCAAGGCGTCTGTGTGGTGGTCAAGTCCATGGACTGCATGGCTGGATGCCTGCAGTCCAGTGATCTAACAGAACATGCCTGCGGATCTGTGGACGTTTGACCCATTGATCGAAAGTCCATCGTGAAGATCTATACTAGAGTATAACCTCAAGCCTTGATCAATCATCAACACCTCCCTGGCTGCTGTTTGAATTCCTTTCTTAACAAATCCACTTCAGACATCTGGAACATCCACTCGTTCCTGACCCGCGAGCGACACGACACGACACACGGACCATCACGGCCCGCGTGGACCGCGGTCGGCCGTTCGAAACCGCCGGCCCCACCGGGGCCGTCTCGGTCCCTTGGAGGAAAGCGCCTGGAGACATCGACCTTGATCTCATCCTCAGTCACACCCTTGGATTCGCAGGCACCTAGCGTGGGCGGCGATCCGCGGAGAAAGCGGTTTGTAGTGAAAGACCACCAAAGAAGTATCCAGACCCCCCCATTCTAGATGGTCCAGGGTCCTATCAAAACAGAGGTGATGTCTGGGCTCTAGGTCTATATGGGATGACTGATCCATCTTTGATCCTTTCCACAAGCTCCTCCTGACCAAGCAGACTGTAAGCTGCGAGGCCGCTTAGTGGATCTTGGTGTAAACGTAAGTTCGAGCCCTTTGGCCCAGGTCAATTGCGCCAAAAGGGTCTGTTGAGAATTCGTTGCCCACATCCCGAAGCACATGCTATTTCCAGAACCCTAAAGTGTCTTTGATTTCCAGAACACCATCAGTCAAAGGCTGTGCCACACCTTCCCCCCCCAAAAAAATGGAGTCCCTGTTTCACTTCTTTTAAAAAAGGAAAGAAAACCTTTTAAGGCCGAGGAACCCATGCTGAAGACGCTCTGGACCTTTCTTGCTCGTGGTGCGAATGGAGTTAGCTGGCACGCTCCCACGCAGCCCGGAGCCCCAACGGCGGAAACGGGCGGATCTTGGACCTGACGCAGGCAAACCTCTCCGAGATCCCCAAGGTATCGGGGGGGCACCGGTCAGACCCTCTTGCTCTTTGACCAAGCGTTCACCGCTTCAAGTCCACGTGCTTGGAGCCAGCCAAACTGGGAAGGGGGGGAAGCTTTTAACCATCCTTGCAGGAGAAGAACCACCCGCTTTTGAGAAATCAGGCAAGAAGAACATGTCGTCTTGGAAGCCTCGAACGAAAAAGGCCTTGAGACGGCTCAAGACGGCGGCTCCTGCATGGCTCTCTATCAACAAACGAAGCTGGTAGACCAACCAAGTGAATCCTTCCACCTGCCGGCCAAAAAAAAGCTGTGTCGCATTCCGAGCAAGAGGAGACCCCATTCGGGGAACCGAGCTGCTCGCTCTGCCCGTCCGGTGGACGAACGGAAGCGAACGGAAGGACTGTGAGGGGATGAGGGAAGAATGAGGCACCCGGGAAGAGACCCACGAACCTGAAAATGAAACGTCTAGAAGACGATGTTTCCCTTTACAACCCAGTGGTTTTCAGGTTCCATGTTAATCTTCCAGGGTGTAAGTAGAGATTCCTTTGGATCCATTCCCTGATTTCTTATCTAAGCACCAGTCATTGTTGTGCGCCGTCCCATAAGGTGCCCGTGGACGCCCCCAGCCGCCGGATGCCAAAACCTCTGAGGTGGGGAAAATGCAAATATCCTCTCCATCTCACGTCCAATACCCGAGGTACTTCTCCCAACAAAACCACCCACCGAACGAAAAAAGCAATCCAAAAGAGGTCAAAAAGAGGTCACCCCTGGATGGGCAAATCGATGTGGGCATCGTGGCCCCTATCGATCTTCGATCAAACATGTGCAGCCCCCTTGCCACAGGCTCTGAGCCTCTCCCGCACGTTTTTGGTTCCGCCAGCTGCGGCTTGGAGAAGGCCACGAACATTGGAGACCCAAGCATAGGAGTTATCCCACCACATCCCACCACCAATTTCACCTCTGTGCCATATAGAAATTAGCACAAATAGTAGTGTGTGTGTGTGTGTTTTCCGAAGTTCCAGATGAGCCACACAGCCTACCACCTGGTCCGCAAGTCCTGTAAATACTGGATGGTTGTAAATCCGGTCATCCAAAACCAGAACATGGTCGTGGCATGCCGTGGCTCTGCCAGGTCCAACCATCGGAGGCAGGTGCTCCATCTCCGTCCTCTCTCTCAGCTGACTTCCGGTCGGATGGGCCTTAGCAGGACTGGTGCAGGACAGGCGTCGCGGAGCGTCACGCAGGACCATGTCGGGAGACCCCAAAGCATCTGGGTCTTCAAGAAGGCACCCTCAAGAAGGATCTTGGAACCTCTCAACAATGGGCCCGAATGTTATCCAATTCTATATATTGGAAGTAATATACTTATACTTGCATAACAGTATATTGCCTGAGGACCACACATGACCAATGACTTGATTCTCCACAGCCCCATTATGAGCCACCGTCCATCCCCATGGAGTCGTGATCACCGAAATTGGGACCACATCCCCTCCCAACACTTCCACCAGCAAATGAAAATATGAAGTTCTTCGAACGAAAAAGGCCATGGCAATTGGACCAATCCGATCCATGTGGGATCATTGGGCGGGGGTCTAAGGCCTCCATTCCCGGATCCAAGCACCAATACTGTCCCTCCCAGCTGCGGCAGCAGTGGTTCCGCCATCTTCTCTGGCTCCTTACCGCGCCGCAGTGCCCAGAGCGCCGAGACCGCCGCCACCAGTGTGGCCACTGCAGCCACGGTGGTGGCCGCTCCACCCTCATCAGCCCCCCAGGTCTCGAGGGTCTCAGCCACCTGCCGACGCAGGGACCACTGGTCCCCCAGTTGGAAGAAACCTTGACGAAAAAAAATCTTGTGATTCCTCCTGTGAGGGGTCATCTACCTGAAATGGCACTGCTAACCTTAAAACTTGAAGATCTTTCAGAAGAATAAACATCTCAGAAGGCCGTGCCTCCTGAAAGTAAACCTCGCCGTGTCACATTCATCTGAATTACGCCAACCAATTCCACCAACAACCACCGCCAACTGGTTTCTGCAAATCTTCCAGCAGAATCATTGAAAAAAGAACTCTTGCAAGGAGATCATCCCAGTAAACACTGATCTTCGGGCCTTCCATCTCTTCGGGCCTTCCATCTCTTCGGGCCTTACATCAACGAGCTAGTTCCCCCAGCTCCGACCTTCTCAGGATGATAAGGGAAGAGAGCCACCTCTCTTCGCTTGAAGGCATGCACCGCAAAGACCTGCCAAAATGGCCAGGCGTTCGTCGAGGACATGGCCAGGCCGACGATTTCCGAAGTTTCGAGCTATTGGGCGAAGCGTAGACCTCGACTGCACCCAAGCATCTTGAATCCGGTAAAGCAAAGCCTCCAATTTCACCCAAAATCAAAGTAGCTTATATATAGATAGAGGTTCCATGTTAATCTTCAGGGGTGTATATATATATATATATCCCGTGCTCAAACCGAAGATCGAATCTCCGGCACCTGGAGCGGCATCTCTCACCGCGCCTGTCGGAGGAAGACATCTCCCAAGATCCAAATGGGTTGTGGATTCGCAGCCTTAGCACCACGCGGCCCGGCAAAAAGAACGTACTCCAAAAAAAAGAATGCTCAGGTTATTTGGTCATGTTGCAGACTGTCCATCAATTTCTCAACAACCCAGAATGGTGGTGGGCATGTCCAAGCTGATGGCCTCCAACCCAGCTGCTTGGAAGTTACCTCACCTACTGGCAATTGATCTATTGATAACAAGTAAAGCAACTAAAAGCGCCACTACCAGGTCCCAAAGAACAGTTTAAAGTGACTTCTTGGGAGGACCAATGCCATGGACTCGCCACTCAAAAATCCAGCCGGAGGAGCTAGGCCCGTCAAGCAGAGCTCCATGTCATGTGTCTGACCCACCTTGACGAACATCTCGCTGGGCCTCGTTTCAAGGTGCGAAAACGGGAGGGTTTTCTCGAACGCCTCGATGTGCCCGAGGAATGGCGTCATACTAACTGATTTCAGAGATGGTGCTACAGAGTCTTTCAATGATTCCATGTGCTTCTCAGGAGAACTACTCTCTACAGGGTCACGTCGCGTGTTTAGCAAGCCCATCTGTTCGGGCCCTGAGCAGATGGGTCTTGCGTCGTGGATGGGAGTTCTACTCCGGGGTGAGAGTGGCGAAAATGGTCTTGTTCTATACCACACTACCCCCCGATGGTGCCATCTGTGTGCGTTACCAAGAGACATGTTAACGGACGTTCTGCAGAACGCGAAGGCGATGTCAAAGTGGCATATTCACAGATGGCGCAATGGGGCACATGGCAGTTGCAGTTGCGCCCCAGAACGAGGTCACTTTAGTCATAAGCTCAAGTAACAAGAGGTCTCAATTGAAGGGTCTTGGTGCACAACCTGCTGTGGGTCTTGAAATCAGCCGCCATGAAATCGGGTCGGCGGTCAGCCGGAGGCTGTGGTCAAGCGGTTCCGCCAGCGTTCCGCATGGCTCTCAAAGATCATGAGAATCATGAGCCTCCAATGAACATCTGATCTTCTCAACGTTCTTGGAATGGTGAAAGGATGTGAAAGGTATCCAGAACTGAACTTCCCAAACTCTTCAGCTCCCTCCTCAGAATGCCCACCCAATCTCAATGGTCACCCCACCCAGCGAATCACCCAACTCATTCGCGCCTCAAGACGATGGACCCCCCAGCTGGAAACTCAAAGACCAAAGGCCTCACCTTCGGAGCAATGCTGCAGTCGCAGACCAGGTTGCCCCGCACCACCTGCCCGGATGGGTCGCCGCATCCCCCAGTGTGGCGCGGTGTCCGCAGAGCACACAACCGGAGCACCAAAACGCGTCGATGGCACCCGGAGCAGAGCAAAGCACAAAAAGCCAGGGGTTCAGCCTGGATCATCATTGGCTCACTAGCTCATTGGCTCGCCATACTCTGTGAGCCAAGATGATGGAAAGACCAACCGACTTGGGATGAAGTTGGGAGGTGACTCGACCCAAAAGAAAAATGAAGCGAAGTGGAGAAGTTGGAAGGAGCATCAACAAACCCACCTGAGCATCTTCAACACTGTCAAACAGCCCATTGGGTCCCCTTTGCAACCCTCCCCAACATCAACATCATCAACATCAAGGGGCTGATGCCACCAGCTGTGGGTCCAAATCCACCAGGAGACCTCACATGGTTGACCTTCCCCAAGGTGTTGGTCTTAAGCTCGCTCGCCTACATTGGTGGACTGGTCGAGGCTTCATGAGCGCCCCAAAAGCCTGCACCACCCCTCTGGGCCATGAGCCGGTGGTCCTTCGTCGCACCGAACCTCGACCAGCGAACGAACGGAGAACCTTGTCCACCGGCCTCGCAGTCGGTGAAGTACTTCTCGCCGAACATGGTCGAGGCCACGGACAAGAAGTCAGCTGCAGAGGGTGGCACTCGGACGAAAGGGCTGGGAGGGGTGGAAAGGTTCGGAAGAGGGGGTTCCCACCCCCTGTCCTCACCCCCCCCCCGACCCGAAGGGATTGTTGCATGTTTAGGTTCAAACAGAAGATCTGGGTGTATCTCCGAGGACCCGCCTCTTTGGTGCGAAAGTGGATGAAAAAAGAATGGACACCCATTTAAGCGGTTGGATAGGGTGTCATAAACTGACCGTCCAACCGTTGGATGGGTTCCAGCAGTCGAGTCTTCATTATTTCCAGTTGGATGTTGGATAGATTAAGAGGTCCCCATGTGGTAAAGTAGAACTTATTCGATCTATATAACAGGGTAGTAACGGTGTTCATGGCCCCGATTGCAACCCCAGCGCAAACCCACCAACTCTGGAGAAAGCCCAAAACGAAAAAGAAAAAAAACACCACAGACGTGAAAAAGAAGTCCGGTTCTACCAAGAGAACGTAGACCCCACACAATCGAAGGAAGGAGTGATCCGATTGGACCAACGCATCCA